ATATAGAGTGTGAAGTGATCACGAGGTGAACGCTGCAGCGATTTATATGGAATGTGTAGAGAATGAGAACATTCTAGCATTTGATCTGGGCCGTCAGAGACTAGAAATCGTTGTTCGGTATTGATCGTCAGCTTAACGGCTCGAATCATGCTTGTCTGTCAAGATTGTGAGTGGTGATGGTCACCTATCAGAGCATAATGAAGTGATTTGCCAAAGCTAAATAGAGTCGTGCGGCATGATGTCACTACAATTTGTCCTTTGTGAAGACAATGATGGCAGAGGAAGATAACAGTATCCATTGCTAAATAGAAAAATTTCAGTTACACCCTTCTAATTATCATATTTTTAAGGATATGTCATCTATTTTTTGAATTTTCACTAATACCTCTATCAAATTAAAAATGTTAAGTAGAATGAAATTTTACTAAATTATCCATGATATATTTTAGAAAAAACTTCATCAACACTCCTCTAGATAGACATATTTTCAATAAGACCTCTTATATTTTTAAATTTTTTTACGTATTAAAATTTGGATAGATTAAAACTCGATTCGAATTAATTAAAATTTACTTTTTACATATTAAAATTCATGTCAATTAAAAATTATATTTTTTTTATGTATTAAAATTTGAGCCGATTAATTTTTTTTTTAATTGGCTCGAATCAAATTTTAATCAACTTGCATTGAATTTTACTCGGTTCGAATTTTGATACCTAAAAAAATATAAATTTTAATTGACTAAAATTTTAATACGTAAAAAGTGAATTTTAATTAACTTGAATCGAATTTTAATTGACACAAATTTTAATAAAAAAAATATATATTTTAATTGACTCAAGCAAATTTTAATCAGCTATAATAGCTTAGGTAGGTTCAAATTGGCTCGAATTTTAATACGTAAAAAAAATTTAATAGGCTCAAATTTTAATACTTTTAAAAAAATAAAATTTAATCAGTTTGAATCAAATTTTAATCGGCTCAAATTTTAATATGTAAAAAAATGAATTTTAATCATCTCAAATTTTAATATGTAGAAAAATGAATTTTAATCGGCTTAAATTTTAATCCAATTTTTTGTAGAAATATTGTTTGGAATTTATATTGTGGTCATTTTTAAATTTTGGATATTTTTTTTGTTAGAAATGGTGGTTTAACGACAATGAATGTCAGTGATGTTTAAATATAAATTAGAAAAGGGTGTCGGTGATGTTTTGAATAATAGAGGTGTCCTTGAAAATATGATAAATTAGAAAGGGGTGTGACTGAATTTTTCCCTTGCTAAATTTATAATTTTGAGTACAAGTTATATTATTTTGAAATTAGGGCCGATAATCGACCCCAGCTCGGGTCGAGTTTGTTTTTTAAAGGAACGTGAAAAATTATTCAAGTTTAGCTCATTTATAAAATGAGTCGAGCCTAGAACGAGTCGAATTTGAGCCAAGCCTGAGTAGTTCAATTATTTTACATATAAACGAGCCGAGTTTTTTAGGCCCATTTTCTAAATGAGACTAAAAAATTGTTCAAACTTTTAAACGAGTCGATCTTGAATCGAGTCTTATCCAAAACGAATCCGAGTAGTTATAAACACTATTTGAGATATAAGTTATAACTGAAAAAATAATAAAAATTGTAATTGTTATAGATAAAATTATTATTTTTTGAGATCAAGTTATATATTTTAAATGTGAAATTATAACCGTTTGCATTAACTTCATGATCATAACACATTTGTAATTTTATTTTTAAAAGTATAACTTAACCTCAAAAAATAGTTACTTTTAATGTGGTGTCAAAAATTTTTAGTACCATAGAATTACTCATGATGGAAAATTACACTTAATAGGATTGAGAAGTCTACCGCACCTTAAAAAAAATCGATACCGTACAATCAATATAAATTATTACTTTGTAGTAATTTGCGATCTATTCTAACATTTTTAGAATCGATTGCAAATTACTACAAAGTAATAATTTAGCATAAAAAGTTATAATTTAAACTTAAAAATTGTGATTTGACCCCATTTTTTTTTTTTTTTTTGTAAACAAACTTCAAAACTTGTATTAAAATTCCAAACAATTGTAAAATTTTGAGATACAATACCAAATTTTTTGTCTTAGAACTGTAATCTTGTCCTAGTAGGGATTCACATTCGACGCATAAAAATGTCATATCCAGGGACTTTGCCACTCGGATGAAACCTCTTAGATCCTACACTAATATGTTAATGTGCTATCGTCCAAAAACTGTAGCAGTATTATTCTCTTGATCTTTGAGTCGGCCACTATAATTCGAGTTAGTTTAAGAGCATATTGAGGAACAAGCGTGTCTAACCTTTAAGGAATGTGTGAAGTATCAAATCTAAGATTTCTTATTTACAGAAATCGTGAAAAGTATCTCATGTATGGGGGGGGGGTGATTAACGTAGGTTGCAATCGATTGGATATTGTAGAGGGATTAGACGAATTTCTTACCTTGAAGGGTTTGAAGGTTTACTAACACTCGTAGTGAGATTGGTGCCTCACGAGGGCCAAACACTATTCACTCAAGGTGATTGAGGCAAAGGGTTAGTATACTATTCCTGGAAAGTTACGTCAATGCCGATGCGTCGGTATACGCACTTCTTGAAAATGTGTTATCTGACATGATCTGAAATGTGTACACCTAAGTACAAGTGGTCAAGTTGTAGTTATAATCCAATTAAGTCCGGAGTCGAATCCACAAAGAACTAATATTGGTGTTTTGAAGTCAAAAGTGAAGAGACCTAAGTGAATAGAACCCTTGAGATTTGAGTTTGTGAAAATGACAAAATTTTTTAAACAAAATATAAAATTCACTTAAATGGATATAAAAGTTACACTTTAGCTTGAGGATCTGGACATGTACTTATTTATCCAGTCATTATATTTGTGCCTTGTAGATTGCTCAATTAAACACTAAGTCAATATCAGATTAATGGGAGGATAAAGGTGGAATGTGTGAATTAAAAGTATGGCTCCGATGTCTTTATAGAGATTTGCAAGGATTATTTTTTTCGAGACTTAACTTGTCTATAAACAAGAAAGAAGTTCTACAAATCATCTCGTAACTGTTTAAGTTATCCCATCAGTAGTGAAAGCAAAATGTAAATGAAGATTGAAAAATTGTTATGAAAACCTAACTTAAGTACTTGTAGGGAATCAATGAAATTACCTACATCAAGACTTAACTTATCTATAGGTGATCCATGATTATACAAAGTACTTTAGCTTTACTAGATGCATTTAATCATTCAATAAATATCAGAAGGATAAAACATTAAGCATAATTAAAGTGCACAAATATAACTTTCGAACAATAATTTACATGTCCATCATCTCTTACTAAAGAGTGACTAAGAAACTATTCACTCTGTATGACTTTGAGTAAGCTAGAAAAAGTGAGTGAATCTCATCCCTCAGAGTAGAGGAACTTAGAATTACAATTTAAAGATCACCAAAATGATGTGCTTATGTCCGACAAAGAATGAGTGAAACACTTCCCACTCTTCAAAGCCACAAGAGAGTTAGAACGGTGAGAGAGGTTCACTTTTCTTAGTGAAGGAGAAAGCTTTACAATGGAAGCTAATGAAATAATAATAAAAATAGAAAAAAAACCTTGTTACTTTTGGAGGGATATTTCCACTTCCAAAAGAGATGATCCCTTTGCTTCAAGATGATAGGGTATTTGTAGGAGTGGAAAGCACAAAAATCTAGAAATGAAGTTTTTTCAATTTGGTAGAGACGTTCGAACCCTAGTTGGGGCATTCGAACACTGCCCATGGCATTAAATGCTAAGGAGCCCCTTATCTAAATATCGCTGACTTTCGAGGGGGCGTTCGAACGCTAGGGGCAAGCATTCGCATGTTGCCCACAATTCTTGCTCTTTGTTTGATTTTATCAGTATTTGCTCTTGACTTTTGATGGACATTCTAACCCCTCTGGTATTCAAATGTTGCCTCATTCTAGAAGCTTACCTTTCGCCATGAAAAAGACCATTTTGCCCTGCATTGCATGTCAATGTTCCATTCTTCCCTTTTTCTCAATTCCTTATTATTTATTTACAAATAAAATGCAAGCTATATATAATTAACCCTTGCAAAACATATTAAAATGTAAAGATTCAAGGTTAGTCACACCTCGCAACCTGGATATTACTAGTCTCTATTAATAATATAAAACTCTAAATCAATACACAAAAACCATTTTCGCAAGTGATTCGATTGCATTTAGCATATGTAATTAGCCGTTAAACCCCTAGGTCACCTCTAGTGGACGAGTATTGTCTCATGAATGTTTTCAGTGAAGGTACTTACAAACTTTAATGACTAGAACAATATATTATACACATATTACACATAAAATTATAGCAGCATTCCATCATTTTTTTTAAATGTTTCCCTGTTCATCCTAACCTAAGAATAACACACCCCACTTGTGAAACTATTCCCCCCATTTTTATGAAAAACTTGTGGGTGTGTATTGCTTTAGTATTCAAAAATTTAGGGAATAACACAACTCTTCTCATAGCTTATCAAAATTAGCTTCGATGTCAGTCCTTTCTTGAAAATCACTCAGCAAATAACGCACTCAGACTTTTGTAAATCAAAGCCAAATATTTCACATGAAAAAAATCAATAAATGATTTTAGAAAAGAAATGGACTTTAGCATAATTTGATATTAACACTGAATCAAGTAATACTATCAATTTCCCCACGCATGAGAAGAAACAGAATCACTCATGCACTTGCTTTTGGACTTATTGAAGAAGCTAACTAGAGGACCTTCAAAGGCTTATCCTTTCTATCAATAAGCACATCTTATAACTAAATCCCTGCCGAGCCTACATTTTAGGTCTTTTGTTGAACCATAAATGTCTTATAATGTAATGACAAGGACTCAACTGTTGGCCGCATGATGAGCCTCACTCTCTTTAAGAAATTATATGTGCTACACCACTAGCCTTCTTCCATACAACCATCAGAATATCTGCTTACTAGGGCGGCTGCGCAGAGACCCACGAAGGCGTAATCCAAGTGAATTAGAATCCAAAATCGATAGCTCCTGCCGTTTTGAACAGACTCAAGGAGCCACTCTTGTAATTCGAAGCGACAAACCACTGACGCGGATTGATAAGACATCTTTCCTCTTAGATACCTTCTTCAAGGTTGAGCTGGGTCGGGTTCACTAGAGCTAGTGGATGACACGGAAGGGCACTTACCTTTGTGGGAAGCCGGATGAAGAGGACCAAGGATAGGAGACTGATTAATCCTTCCAAGGGACGGTGGTTTGATATCGAATCAGGATGCACTTTCAGTTTGACATTGACAAATGACAACGTCTTCTCGTTGACTAGCATACGATCAATTCTCTCTAGAATTCGATCTCTAGATTTGTCCAAGTGAAGAATCCACTTGATGTAGACAAGAAAGAAGAGGCTTTCCTGGAAAGATTTGAATTCCTTCGTGAGATTAGCATTCCCTTGCCTGGGCCTCAAAAAAGAGGCAAAGTGGGGAGAAAACGGTCTTTGTATTGATAGAAGTGTAATCTAATCTCTGTGTTCTATATCGAATAAGAGCGTAGGAGGTCTTTCTCCTTTATTGCCTTTTTGATGTTCCTTACGAGTGGTAGTTCTTCAATTCTCCTATGTTAAGCACATGTAGTAAGTCTTCATTGTTGTTATCTCTATTTCTTGCAGGTAAGAATGCATTAGGCTAGATAAGAACTAATTAACTATTTCTGACTCTTGACTACTATAATGAAATAAGGGAACCCAAAACTACTCCCTCACCACCAAAATCGCAAGCAGACCTTCTCTTCCTACTAGGCACAGTCACTCAAGCGTACCTACGATTACTCGTCTTCCTAGCTTACCGTACAGACCAAAGACTAACATAGCGCACTGCCTAGCCAAAGGCAAGGGAAAATAGAATAAGCGCATATACATCTACAAGAAGGATGGAAAAAGACTCACTTTGCATCTGGATGAGCCAAGCATAAATCATAAAGAGAGCAAGGAAAATTTCTTTCTTATAGCTAGATAATTTGAGAAGGAAAGCCTAGAAGCAGGTGTAGTGTATATGCTAGTGGGTAGAATTAAAAAGAGCAAACAGTTGGATGAAAATTTAGATCAATTCCCATAAGTTCAAAAAAGTTTTAGGACTTTTTGGAGTTGGTTACAAAAGAGTTACCCAAGGGTTTTCCATCATTAAGAAAAGAAGTGTACATCATGCAATAGATTTTGTACATGGATCAATGTAAATTGCTTGTTTTTTCTTCTTCGCGAGTATAGCATGATGAGCCCCAGTTATGGCAACTCCGGATGAAGGGAGAATAAGGGTGTTAAGAGAGATTTCCCAAGGATCTAAAACTCCAATTCCTTTTGGGGGCCAAATACCTCCAATCTCTACTGTAGGTGCCAAGGAAGAATGAGATGAAGCCCCCCCAAAAAAAGCAAAAGAGAACATAACCTCCAATAAGATAAACAGAAGAAAACCATATTGAGGTCCTAATTGTACGACTTTGGTATGATGTCCTTCCAAGGTGGATTCACGTAGAACATCGTTGTTCAAACAGAAGTCCCAAGAATCATTAACAACGCATATATATCAAATACAAAAAAATATATATATTAAAACCCTACAAAGAAAAATTAGGGTTTACCTTCAAGATTGCTCTGGATTAATCTTGTCTCAGCATGAATGCAGAATCTAAAGAATGACACAGAAAACAACTTGATGAACCTCACAATTTTCTGTTATATATCCCCCAACGCTAAAATTTGGGTGCAATGTGGGCTGCAAAGAGTTTTGAATTTCTACTTTGTCTCTCTTAGCCTCCCTCAAAACGTGAATAATAAAGGTGATGCTGATTTAGAAAGCCTAGACGTCTATATATAGGCTACGATAGAAACCCTAAGGAGAAATAGGAGTTGGACTTCCAATGGGTCTAGGATTCCAATGTTCAACCTAGAATAAACATTTTGTAGTCCATTAATAATAAGTTAGTCCACTAAAAAATATTATTAATCTCCTAAGCCTTATCTCAAAATTATGTTTCGAGCTCCTTATTATTATATGCTTAATAATCTCCATACGTTTAAGATTACAGATGTCTATCAATTAAATAAATTACTGACAACTATATTTAATTGACTTCTTTTATTCCTTGAAACCTTATCACTCAATTTATTTGTTATGTCGGATAACTAAATTTACATGTAGGGTTTGACATAGACAAAATTTATGAGCTTCTTCAAGGTGGCATCATCAACCCATTTAAATACCAAGACGTGATTTCTTTAATATTTAATTTTCACCATACAATTAATATCATCTCCCAATTCACCGAACTTATTAACTCAATATGAATCTTACTATTTGATGAATTAAAGTGACAATCATTATATGCACGTGCGATTAAATATATCAAGATTAAGAGTATAAACAATCATAATAATCATGAGGTATTTATCATCTTATTCAGCCAATAAAAGATAATAACTTCAACATGGGTTTGTTCAATACACAAAGTGTACTAGTGAAATAATCCGAGACATCAAATAGTTTCTTATAGTTAAGACAGACTATTCCAGAATATTACATTACAATCATACTGATGGTGTGTCCAATTCTATCTAAGATTGTGAATCTATACTTATATTATATAAGGATTCGATGATCTAGTCTTTTGTGCATAAGACAAACTCTACACACCAGATTATTTACAATATAAAATATATAACACACATGCATACCATATATCAAATATAATGCAAACATTTTGCCCATATAGATTCTTAATAAAATGAAAAAAAAAACTCCTATTAATTAATAAAACAAGTTCCACTACAAAAAATAAGCTTTTAATATATAACTCTATCAATTGTGCCACCATACGAACATAGTATATTGGAGAAATATGAGACCCAAATTGAGAAGTGTTACAACTCCTTGAAATGGGTGCATGTACATCACACCTCCTGTAATAGTTGATGCACCGAGTGAACCTGAAATAGGCTATGGACTTGGATCTACCAAATGATAAGAATACCTCTGAAATTCAATCATAAATCACATTGCTTTGGTTGAATGCAAACCCACCCTTCTCCCCCACCCCCTAAAGTGGTAAAGAAGGGCTTTTTGGGGTTTCATTTTCTTTCTACCTTACAAGACAAGCAAATAGGAAGGGATGGTTCTTTCATTGCATTGATAGAAGTCCCGTAGCCACCTGTGTTTAGCATCCAGACAATTTAATTGGTTCTTCTTTATCCTATCTTGATATAAACATACATGAGTGACATCAACTACAAAGAACAAGAGCAAGAAAGAAGAGGACATTCAATTAGTTCTATTCTTTGCTTATATGAGATTACCTTCAAGCAAGACAACCAAAAGAAATTCCTCCTTCTAAGGTAATCTATCTTATTATTATTATTGTTATTATTATTATTTTATCTCTCTGATTACAACCCTTAGGAACAACCATGAAAGCTAGACACACAATTCCTTCATGGACAAATGACATTTTATACCCCCAAAATATTTGCATTTTCAATTTATACTCAGAAAGATTAAAATTTTTATATTGCACCCTTAATCAAATAAAAAGATAAAAATGTATTTTATTTTGAGAAAATTGAGTTTAAGTTTTCCATTAAAAACTCTTAAAATTGAGTATCATATAAACAATTGTGTATAGAAACAAGATAATATGACTAATACAACAAACAAAGATTCCTCAGAAACGACAACAAAAATTAGGTTTTGCACTATACTGCTACCTTTTTATTTGATTGAGGGTGTCATAAAAAGAATTTTAGTATTTCATTGTGTAAATTGAGAATTTAAAAATCTTTTAAGGTGCAAGTGTCATTCACCCTTTTATCTATATAACATTTAAAGTGTGAGCATAAATGTAACTGCATGTGTAGCTTGGTCCACTTGTGCATTTAATTCACCGTTCTTTCTGATTTCAATTATTTTTCTAGTTTTGAGAACAGTTCACATATTTAGTAAGTTTGTTACTTGTCTTCATCATTTGATTGTTGATTTCTTTATTATCTAGATAAGCTTTCAAATCTATAAATTTGTATAATTGACAAAAAAAAAAATAATTGTATAAGGGTCTTAGATAAGCTAGAATGCGTGTGAGCTTAAATGTAGCCGGGGGTGACATGGACACTTTTCACAATTAGCTATCTCCCAATTAACATTAATTCAAATTTACCTAAATTGATTTTTTCTTCGTTCTACTCTACAATAATTATCACCTGTTTGTTGAATAGGGATTTTTTTTTTTTTTTTTTTGTTCAACAGTTAGGGGTGTTTAGACTAACTTACACGCACCTCAATTAATCATCTCCATTGTCCGGTCAAAAATAAACCATCCACACCAGAATTAGTACATTTATAAGGAATAAAGTTCTCATGGCTAACCGCAAGAGATTGTTGACTAGGGATTCACTTCTATGTAATGGACTCCATTTCAATTCATGACAAAGAAGCCATCATTAAAAAGACTAAGAAAAATATATTAAAAGAGATCTAATATTAGATATTGAAAGAGGTATATCCATTTCCAACACATTTATCCTTAGTGGGGAAGTCATGTTTTAGCTTGGGAAAAGCATGGCTTCCTCTCATGTTTCTTACTCATTTGTATCCCTTCATTTTTCATGTAATTTTAAACAATTTTTTGTACCTATTCCTTAGAGTAAATAGTAAAAAAGTCAAAGATTAGATTTGCACTCAATCTACCCCTCCTAAACCTACTAGGTGTTACAAAAGAATAGTCCACATCTATGGGAGTATTCATTTGTCATCTAAGGTTCCTCTGCCCATATTTTTTTTTTTTTTATGTAATTTGAGAGAGTACTTGTTTATTGAATTAACAATGAGTTTCAAATATTAGATGAGATTCACGATCAGTCTACTAGAAACATGGATTTTATCAGACTTTGCATTATTGTTGTTCTATCTTGATTAAAAGCAACATTTACAATGGAGCCCTATTTGAGCTAAAGTTTAATGATACTATGCAATTGATGTTGCCAAAAAATAGGGTTATCATATTTTATGTAATAAAAAAAAATTATTGCGAATCTGCTTCCTCCTTTACTCGTATCATATAGATTAATTATATTTGAATTTGTAATTGGTACATCACCATTGTATATTTTTAAAAAAAAGAAGGAAATATAACTTGTCAAACTATATCACCATTATTGTCATTGAATGAACAAGTAACAAATTTTGTTTATTAAGTCTTTCACATAGCAACAGATACATGAATTTTCCATGGCAAGAACGCGTGATGAGGAAGTATGCTGTCACACACAAGCAGCCAGCAATTAATTCGGTTAAGAGATTTCCAATCAAATTTGCACTTGCTATTATGTCTATGTTTTTTTTTTTTGCCCTTTTGTGTTATCGAGAATCGCGCGAACACGTTAACTCTAAAGTCATGACCATAACACGTTAGCTCTAACCCATGACTCTAAATTAGTAATTATAATGTAAACTTTGAAGATCATTGTCAAAAACGAAAAAAAATGAGTCCAATAAAATAGAACTTAAACTATTTCAACACAATCATATCCGTTGGATTTTACTAGTCAAAAATAATGGATTTTCAAGAGAAAAGGGGTCATTCATCCTAAGTTATAATTTTTTGGAAAAATAATAGATAAATTATTCCTATTATTAAATGGAGTACTTCAAACCCTTAGAAATAGTTCAGTGGTTAAGCTTGGTCTTTGGGAACTCAGCAGTCTTAAGTTTAATCTCTTTTTACATCTCCTAAGAAGCTTTTTAGTAAGGGGATATGAGGGGCTTGATAAGATGAGTTTGGAGAAAATAGTCCAAAGGACTCTCAAACCTCATGTTTGAATTGAAAATTCAATCTTGAGTTTCCAAACTTGGCCCATAGTTGGTCTGAATATTAAACTCATGATCATAAATTTTGTCAAACCTAGGGGGAGGTGGGTTTGGGAAGATGAGTTAAGGGGTTAAGGATACAAAAGACAATTGTACTTTTTAACATTGGTATAAATTGGATTGATCAAAGATAAAATAGTCATTTATAGGATAAATAGTAGTTAATAATTACAATATATCCGTGAGTCCTATATGTATATGTGTTACATATCAAACATTAGTATGGACCAGATTCAATATTGAATATCATTTTTGTAAAAATGGTTTTGGATTTGGGGCAACCAATTCAAACCCTTCTAAAAAATTTATCCAAACAAGGCCTAAGGGCTAAGCCACTCATGTCCCTTAGGGAAATGTGCTAACCCAATTTAAGTTATAATTGTCGGTTGTTGAGTTTGAGAAAATAGTAGGCGCAAGCCCACTACCAAGAAAAAAAAATGGAGCATTTGAAAAACTTTTTTCCCCTATACTTAGTTGTTAGACCCGACCTTTCTAACTAATCTTAGTAATAAAGATAGGATAAAATAAGA